CAGTGACCCCATCCAGCCACCTCATCCTCTGCTGTCCCCTCCTTCTCTTGCCATCAATTGTTCCCAGCATTAGGCTCTTCTCCAGGGAGTCCTTCCTTCTCATTAGGTGGCCAAAGCATTTGAGCTTCAGCTTCAGTATCTGGCCCTCTAAAGAGCAGTCAGGGTTGATCTCCTCTAGGACTGACCGGTTTGATCGCCTTGCAGTCCAAGGGACCCACAGGAGTCTCCTCCAGCACCACAATCCAAAGGCCTCAATTCTTCGGCCTTCCTCATGGTCCAGTTTCACAGCCATACATTGCTACTGGGAAAACCATCGCCTTGACTATACGCACTTTTGTCGGCAGGGTGATGTCTCTGCTTTTTAGTATGCTGTCTAGATTTGCCATAGCTTTCCTCCCCAGGAGCAAGCGTCTTTTAGTTTCTTGACTGGAGTCCCCATCTGAGGTGATCTTGGAGCCCAGGAAAATAAAATTTGTCACTACCTCTATTTCTTCCCCATCTATTTGCCCAGAAGTGAAAGGACCAGATGCCGTGGTCTTAGTTTTGTTAATGTTGAGTTTCAAGCCAACTTTTGCACTCTCCTCCTTCACCCGCATCCAGAGGCTCTTTAGTTCCTCTTCACTTTCTGCCATGAGAGTGGTATCAGCTGCATATCTGAGGTGGTTGTTATTTCTCCCAGCAATCTTAATTCCAACTGGTGATTCATCCAGCCCCGCCTTTCTCATGATGTGCTCTGCATGTGAGTTAAATAGGCAGGGCGACCGTATACAGCCTTGCCGAACTCCTTTCCCAATTTTGATCCAATCAGTGGTTCCGTGTCCAGTTCTTGCTGTTGCTCCTTGACCTGCATATAGGTTTCTCAAGAGACAAATAAGATGGTCTGGGACTCACATCTCTTTTAAGAACTTGCCACAATTTGTTGTGATCCACACAATCAAATGCTTTAGCATAGTCAATGAAGCAGAAGATGTTTTTCTGGGGCTCCCTAGCTTTCTCCATGATCCAGCGTATGTTGGCAATTTGATCTCTAGTTGCTCTGCCTCTTCGGAACCCTGCCTGTACCTCTGGTAGTTCTCGGTCCACATACTGCTGGAGCCCAGCTTGTAGGGTTTTGAGCACCACTTTGCCAGCTTGTGAAATGAGTGCAATGGTGCGGTAGTTTGAACATTCTTTGGCATTGCCCTTCTTTGAGATGGGAATGCAAACTGACCTTTTCCAATCCTGTGGCCACTGTTGAGTTTTCCAAGTTTGCTGGCATATTGAGTGTAGCACTTTTACTGCATCGTCTTTTAAGATTTTGCATAGCTCAGCTGGAATACTGTCGCCTCCACTAGCTTTGTTGTTGCTCAGACTTCTTAAGGCCCATTTGACTTCATATTCCAGGATGTCTGACTCAAGGTCAGTGACCACCCCATCGAGGTTATCAGGGATGTTAAGATTTTTCTTGTATAGTTCCTCTGTGTAATCTTGCCACCTCTTCTTAATCTCTTCTGCCTCTGTTAGGTCCCTGCCATTTTGGTCCTTTATCATGCCCATCTTTGCATGAAATATTCCCTTCATATCTCCAGTTTTCTTGAAGAGATCTCTGCTCCTCCCTTTTCTACTGTTTTCTTCTATTTCTTTGCACTGTTCATTTAAGAAGGCATTCTTATCTCTTCTAGCTATTCTCTGGAATTCTGCATTCAATTGGGTATGTCTTTCTCTTTCTCCCTTGCCTTTCGCTTCCCTTCTTTCCTCAGCTATTTGTAAAGCTTCCTCAGTCAGCCATTTTGCTTTCCTGCATTTCTTTTTCTTTGGGATGGCTTTAGTTGCTGCCTCTTGTACAATGTCGCAAACCTCCATCTGATCTTAAAATACTTTTATTGCATTTTTATCTGTTCTTATGGCCCGCGTCAACCACCCACTTTCTTGGAGCACGAGTCCAATTTCGAGGCACATGCACTGAGCATTTGCGCAGAACTCACAAGAAACTGAGCCCCCCACCCCACCCCACCTGGTGGCAGTTTCTCTTCTGTGCATGGGCCAGTAATTTTTGTTTGTGCTGCTGGAAGGGGGTTCCTTCCTGCACAGCTGGACAAGCAATTCCAGACCTCCCTTCAGCTTACAAATCACAAATGCAGCCCTTCGGGGTCAGGTGTCTGAGAAGCTCTTGTGGAATTGTGGAAAGACACGGATCATCTCCATGCATCTCAGTTCTGTTTTTGGAACAGAGTTGTCCCTGCCTGCCTTCATCAATACCCCTTGTGGGAGAAAGACGGAAGGAATACGACAACTGCGAGTCTTGGATGGTGCTTTTTACACAAGCCACAGCTTCCAGACAGTCTTTGAGGGCTGTCCCACATAGAACCCATTGCAGTAAGTAAGTTTAGAGGTCATTGGAGGGCTGATTACTGAAGTTAGGCGATCCCTGCCCCTTTAGGCACTTCTCTGAGACACTGTCTTAATTTCCCATGAATGTTTTCCCATGCCTTTTGATTACGCATGTCTAGACCTGGAAGCTGTAATGGTTGTGCCCAGGACTTCCACAGAGCCAAAAGGGTGCAGAAGCATCACTTAAACTCAGAATTGCCTAAAGATTCAGGCTTGGATAGTGCTTCTCATGAGTAGACTTTTGACACGGTGCTTTCAGCTCTCTGCATTTTGAAACTTGGCTTCCTTTGCCTTGCTTCTCTTTGGACTGATAAGACTTTGGCTTTTTTCTTTGCCAGTTGATTCAGCTAAATCGTTTTGCCCCCAAAGTGAACCGAACTCCCCAAAGAGCAACGGAAACAAATGAACCATTCAGAACTTACTCATTTTAATTCCTTTTTTATTTTTATAACTACATGGCTAGGGCCTCTTTTTAATTTTTTTTTATTCATTAGAAAAGTGTACACGCTTAGGCAGGATGTGGTGTTTGCAATGAAAAAATGTTCAAAAATTGTCATTGCATCACAAGAACAAAAGTGGTCTGAGGTGCTCTCCATTTACGAAGCAGCTTGATTTTCTCAAGTTTGGTCTTCTTGGCTGCAGCTCAAGTACCATCTATTAAAATTTTATTATTTTAATATTTGCCTTGCCTTATTTGGGGTTTGCATGATTGAAAAAGAACCAGTGAGGTGTAGTGGTTAAAAACAGAGGAGCAGGACTCCTGTTTTAGCAAACTTCAAGTGCCCACTCAGCCATGGAGCCAGCTGGGTGACTTTGGGCCAGTTATGGACACTCACCCTGGCCTACCTCACAGGGCTGTGGTTGTGAGGGTAGTATTGAAGGGAGGAGGAAGAGGAGGATGTAAGCTGCCTTGAGTTCCTTGGAAGGAACAAAGATGTGTTGCAAATAAATCAATTGAAGTATCTGTCGGTGAAGAGGTACATGCATGGAATCTAAATATTTGGAATGAATTGCAGTTCACTTAGCTCCAAATACCAGGCCTGCCATACCTCCATCTGCTGGCTGCAGGTGAAGCAGGATGAGGTGCCTGTAGGTGATGTTGGACTTGGACACACCCTTCCTTGGACTGCTTCCCTGCCCCCCGTCCCACCTCCGACTGTGAATCCTGCATGTTTCCCTGTGCATTTTCTGCAACAACAGAGGAACAGAAGAGGCTGTTTGGAGCAAGCACCTTGCTCAGTCTTTCACTCCAAGAGAGCCAGTGTGGTGTAGTGGTTAGAGCCAGTGTGGTGCAGTGGTTAGAGCCAGTGTGGTGCAGTGGTTAGAGCCAGTGTGGTGCAGTGGTTAAGAGCTGGGACTGGGACTCAGGCAATCTGGGTTCGAGTCCCCGCTCAGCCATGGAGCCAACAGGGGGACTTTGGGCCAGGCACAGACTCTCAGCCCAGCCTACCTCACAGGGTTGTCGTTGTGGGGATGAGATGAGGAGGAGAATGATGTAAGCTGCCTTGAGCCCTTTGTCGGAAAATAAATAAATAAATAAATAAATAAAGGGTGTTGTGTCATGCAGAACTGAGATGTCACAAGAATCCACTCCAGGTGTCCAAGGAAAGGTGGGTTCTCCAAGGTGGGGCATTGAAAATCAGGAAGGTTTCCTTGCACCAGCAACAGTGTTGGCCCAAGTTCTCCCCATGTTACTGGGCCTGGTGGATATCCACTTACAGTCCTTGGAATTAATTAACTGTGGAATGAAAGTTGAATAAATAAATAACACGGAAATGCCATCTCAATTTCCGTTTCATTCTTGCAGAAGGGAGAAACGGGGGCTATCCAGTGATGGGGATCCCAACTGCTATCAGCCCCAGCTGACATGGCTAATGGGGAGCATGAAGGCAGGTCTATCCAACAACATCTGGACCAGGGCCAGATCCCCTCCCCCTGTTTTATCTCTTCAGGCGCTTGGTGACTAGGCCTTGTGCAGGAACTAGCCTGATCCAGATGGCTTCTTAAACTGCACCCCCTTCTTAGGTTGTGTCAGAAGCCAGTTGGAAACTTGGAAGTTGCTGCCACTAAACAAGAAGCACTGAGGATAGTGGGGTGCTTTTCGGGGCCATTGGATTTAGACCCCCCTCCCTTCCCTGGCACCCCCTTCTGGTCCTGGGTCAGGCACCCTCTGGTGCTGCACTCTGCTAGGACTATTGCAGGACTGAACTTCCAGGGATGGAGCTACTCCCACGACTGACAGAGCCGGATCCTTTCTGGTTCATGCAGGTGTTCCCAGTCCTGAGCGACTGCAGCAGTCTCAAGAAAAGGTTTTGAGCCGCATTTTCTTAGTGCACCTCATGGATGTGGGGATGGGCGGCGGGAAGAAATGTGTGGCAGGCTGGCTAAATTTGGAACCCCGCTTTTCTTTGTCAATCTGCTTGTTCTCTCGTTTGGAATCAAGACCAGTGAATGAGGCACTCCAAAATCAGAAGTGGAATTCGGAGAATTCTATAGGCTACCCCATTTATCTAGAGAGGTTTGAGCAGCACTCACAGAAAGTGCCTTTAAATTTCTCAGCCGATGAGATGGCCTTTAATAAAACCCGCCTTCTTCTTGCTGTTTATTCTCCCTCCTCATCTTGACGTCAGGAGCTGTCCACGGATCCTGGTGCTGAAGCAAAATGGCTGGCTGCTAGACTCGGATGAGCCGCCCCGAGCAGCAATTCAGAGAATATGCAATTTCCCAGCAGAAGCAACACAGATCGTTCCTTTCTCACGTTACTCCCCCACTGAAACGAGACTCCATCCAGCCCGTTGTGCAAGAAGGCCGAACCTGAGCGAGAGAGAGAAAGAGGGAGAGAGAGAAATTGCCATGTCTTTGCTGTGTGTTCGAGGTAAGAGAACCGATCCTAAAAAGAAAAAAGTCAGTGGTTTAGAAGAAGCTAATGTGGGGTGGGGGTGTGCTTGTGCCCCAAATTTTTTGATAATATATATTAAGAACATGTCTCTGTTAGCCTGAGGGTCTAAATGAAGATTTTCTATTCCCAGCGTGGGAAGAAATGACAGTGAAGGAATGAGGCATGCCCTGTGCTGTGGATAAATTGTGCCATTGTGGAAGAATATTTGTCCCTCTCGGTATATTTTTACAGCTGTGATGTTCGGCAAGATTAACTGAGGCATGAGGGCGATCGGTGGAACAGAAAACAAGATGCCAGAGAATTTGAGGAGCACATTCCAAAGAAGTCTTCCCCCTGCACCTCATTTTCTTTTCTTGAATGGATGCTATTTTAGTAAAACATTTGAGGGTGTGGCACACTTGTGTGTGTGTGTGCGAAAGCGAGTGAGCATGCGTGTAGGGATGGAGCGGCTTACCACTGGAATTCTGCAAGAAGAAAGACTGTTTGAAGGGATCAGGATTAAATCTGTCCCTTCTCCCAGTTTATCTTCCAGTTCATTTTCACTGGGACTGAGATACTGAATTCGCTTTCCATTGCTGGAGGGGAAAGAGGGCTGGTTTGGCAGGTAGGTTTTTTCTTTTGCAAATGCACTCATACAAAAGGAATGGCTGGCCAGTGAAAAATGGTCTGTTGAATCCAGCTCTCCATTTGTCTTTGTCCCTTCTTTCCTATCATAAAAAGAAGGTTTATTGTTCCTTTATTTAGAGCATTTTTATTTGGCCAAAGAGCTATTGCAAGACCTTGTGCCTAATCATTAAAACAAAGCAGCCCCTTCCTCCAGACTTTCGATGGAAAAGTCAAGACACACAAGGAAAAAGGAACAGGGAAGGAGGAGGAAAAAAGTTAATCTGCCAACAGCACCGCTGGGATATCCCATCTTTCCCTTCTCAACACCTTCAGGAAAGCCCCAGTTTAAGAAATGGCTCCCCTCCCACTGTGCCTGCAGTGTGATTGTTTGTAGGATGCATTTTTTAGAAACAGAGCAAGTCAGAAGGGGTCTGCCGGGCCATCTAGTCTGACCCCAGGCTCCAGCCGGCTCCGCTCACGACATGCCCACCATGTGCACGTCCAGCCTATCCTTGAGCATCCGCACCGACGGGGCCTCTACCACCTCACCTCCCTCAACCAACTCAGTTTTTGTTATGCGTGCCCTACCTTTAAAGTAATATTAGTCTTACCAGCTGTTCCAGTTAAATAGATCGTGATATTCGTTGCCACATGGTGTGGCAGCTCTTACTTGATAGGGATTTAGGATCAGTAAGTCAAATTGCCCCAAGAAAAGTCTTGCTGGTTTACACCATGTTCTCTTGAGAACCCGAATACATCATGCATCATCAAGCCTAAAAGCAGCATATTTTCCCATAACCCCCAGATTTTAAACGTTTATTTTAAAAAAAAAGTTAACTAGAACAGTATGTAAATCAGAAGAGACCTGTTTAAACACCAGAATGAGGATTTCTGCCAGATCTTTAAGAAACTTGAGATACCCTTAAAACCTCAGCACAGAGGGCTGGCTTAACCTGAAAGGGGGAAACCTTGGTGCCAGAGGGGACAGGCTTTCCAGAGCTAAGGGGCTACCACCAAGAGATCCCTTTCCCTCATTGCTGTCATAAGCAACCCCCCTTCCCCCTTTTCTGGCAGGCTACAACGTATGGTCAAAATCCAGTCTTTTATTAGAACTGGACAGTTGCCACCCTCGAGCTTCCTTCATAGATGGCACTCAGAGGAAGACCTCTGACTTTAATCAGAGCAAACTGGCAGAAGGAGGTGCTAGAAGGCATTTTGCCAAGTATGGTTACCCCAAGTAGCATTGAGCTTTGTAGCTGAAAAAGGCTCAGCACCATGAAAGTGGCCAATGCCGATGGTCCAGAATTGGTGTCGTGTGTTAAGATCTTCTGGTCCCAGTTATTAGTCTGGCTCCTCCAGTTTGCACAAGCTTGAAGTTTCTGAGCAGTCTTCAAGGGTAGCCCCACGAAGAGCATTTTGCAGTAATCTAGTTTTGCTGGGAACAGGGTTCCCTCCCTCTCCCTTTCAAACAGTAGACCGTTCTTTGGCAAAGATCACCTGATTTCCAACATACGGCCAGCAAAATAATAGTCAACAGAGGAAGAGCCTCTGAGCATGCACAGAGTGGTTCATTGAACCCAAATTAGAAACTATTTCTGAGAACACGCCTTTTCGGTATCCTTGGGCTCTACCCCTCTGGGGAAGGGCATTGATACAGGCCTCTAGTTGGCTAGCCCTCCTCTCCTGATGATGCAACATGGGGTTAGGGATCAGACCAGGGTTCTCTTCCATGTCCTCTCCTGGCACTTCCAAATCCTGTGGGTTCAAAAGCTCTGCCTGAACACCCGGGAATGGTGGCCTTGAGATAAGCCATTAAGACCTGCGCAGGCCCTCTAACTGGGCTGCTCATCTCTCCCAACCCCTCATCATGGGGTCAAGGACCAGGAAGACAATGTCAAACCTTCCTTCCCTTCCCAGGCCCCTCCTTTCTCTTCCAAAGCATCTCTACTCTCCCGGGAACCAGTGGGCAGCAACCGTGAGGGTGCCTCAAAGGCCTTGGCTTCTCCCCAAGCTTCCAAAGCTTCCCTCGCCAATTCGTAAAGATTGTCTTCTCTAGCATCCGTCAAGAAGACGGAGATGCCCTCCAAGAAAGGTGGTTTGCTTCACTTACTCCAGACACGTCAGGCATCCCTACCATAGCCTCTGCCGTGGGGCCTCCCTCCTTCCCCCCCATGATGGGGGAGATCTGATGCCCATTCCATTCTCTTGGGGCCAACCCCCCCCTACTGCAAGGAAAGAGAATCAATAAGGCCAAGCCTTCAGCCGTGGCCTCCACTGGAGGGTCTCCGACACGTAGGCGCTTGTTTAGTATGTTCCCGCTAAGTTTCAGACTTCCAGGATTCACAGTCTTCTCTCCCACACCACACTGGCTCTTTGTCGACAGAGCCAGATCTTTGATTTCTTTCTCTGCTCCCGTTCCCAAAAAATTTGCACAAAGCAAGGCTGGTTGTGTGACCGTTTCAGGAATATAAGGAAGGGATCTGAAGGGCTACTACAGCGTCTGTTGCTTTGCCGAATATGAGCAATTCTCCAAAGGTGTTTTTTGCTGCTCTTCAAGTCAGGAAGATTCCCAGAGTCACTTCCAAGTAGGCAGTCCCTGCTCTCAAGTGTATGATCGAAAAAAGAATTGGGTGGGAGTCGTGGGGGAGAATGAGCTGACGCCGCTTGAGTCATTTATCCAGGTAGAAGATAATAGCACTGCTGAGCTCAGGTTTGTGCAGCTCCCGCCCTTCGCTGACCTGCTCCTTCCTCCTCCTCTTTGGCAACTTCTCTTCTCCTTTTGGGTTCGAGCTGATGTTCATTTTTTCCTCCCTTCTCTTTGCAATCTGTTTCCACAGACACAGATCTGTTCTGTTTTCATATAGCCCGAAGTGCCTGGCTCTGTCTAATCTTTGAAGTAAGCAGGTTTGGGCTTGGTGCTGCAAGCAGTATAGCAATGTAATTATTGTTAATAATAATAAATGTAATGGATGCGGGGGGAGGGAATGGAGCCTTGTCTGTAGCAGGCCTCCGATTTGGTTTTGTATTTTAAAGAACAGAGGCTTAGATGGATGGGGAGTGTGACCCAACAGGCCACATTTAGCTCAGAATGGAATGTCATTTGCAATTGTCTGTGTTTTAAAAGGCAGCTTGCCTCATTATTTTGACCCTAATTGAGCCCGTCTCTTCAGAACATCCTACACACCCACCTCCCACGTGATGCAAAGTCTTCGGCTCTGTCACCTTCATTCACAAACTGGGCCACTTGGGAACAGTGAACAACATTTCTCTTAAAGGACTTGGGTCTTTTTAAAAATCCTATTAACTAAATAATATCATTCAATACTCTGCAATACAAAAGGGCATCAATACCAACAAGGAGTTTAAAAGAGAAAAAAACCTACAGTACAAATTGTATTGTGTAAATACAATTTACACAAAAGAATTCAGTTTGTTTGGTACTGAGGGCTAGGGACTTAAAGACAAGCAAGGTGCACTTTGTAATACAGAAATAACCAGGAGGAAAACATAGGAGACCTAGAAAAGAGACTCACAAGAGACCCACTGCAAGCTTTGGCCCCATCTCTCCCAAACCCTCTGCAATCATGTTTGCTTTCTGCTCTGTTTTCCTTGCCTTTGCCAATTTTTTGGCAGGTGAAGGTAGCAAAGAGAGCCGTGTTTGTATCATGGGGAGAAAAATCCAGATAGGAAGGGCTTAATGAAATCACAGACCCCGAGAGCTTACTGGTTCCAAATTTCAGCCGATTGGTGCCCTTCCCAGAAACAGATGCGAAAGGCTTTGTTATGAACAGAAAAGGGCTGTTCTGCCTTTGTCCTTCCATTGTTATCAGAGCATCATTCCTGACCCCTGTTCTCCCTGGATAAGCACCTGAACATCAGGCCTAAAAATACTTCAAATCAAATTCATTAACTGGTGAAAAACAAGTGAGAGAATGCATTTCTGCAAACCTAAGATAGGTACATGGCACCTGTCTGAGTAAAATTGTGGCTTGCACAGCTATGTGTGGAAGATGCTTTGGGTTAATTTCTCATTGCTTCTCCAGTGTGCTGTGCCCTGTTCTTTACAGAGGTGGCAGCTCACACGGGGGGCCTGGGAGGACTGGCCCCCCTCCCCACTCAGCCATGGAGTTCCCTGGGTGACAAGCCAAGCCGCTCACTCTTTGCCTAACCTCCACCTCACATGGTTGTTGTGAGAATAAAAATGGCACAGGGGAGAAACAGAAACAGAGAGTGTCAGAAGGGGCCTCCTGGGCCATATGGTCTGAACCCCGGCTCCAGCCGGCTCCGCTCATGACATGCTCACCATGTGCACATCTAGCCTGTCCTTGGACACCCACACCGATGGGGCCTCAGCCACCTCCCGGGGAAGC